TGGAAAGGAAAGAAAATACATTAATATACTCTCACATTCATAGGGGAAAGCTTGGAGGATTCACATTAAAGCAAAGTGTTTGGTGGGAAAATGCTGGTATTTTCTGGTTGTTTCCATGGTTTCTCTATGATAGTTGTCTGTATAATACCACACTTTTTGCAATCTGAAGCTGCCACCTTGGACCAGTAAGATGGCTCACAGGTAAAGGCACTTGCCAAGCCTGATGACCCAAGTTTGATCCCTGGAATCCACACAGTGGAAGAGAACAGACTAGTGCAAGTTGTCCTCTGACCTTCACAAACACACACACACACACACACACACACACACACACACGCACACACGACACTCACATGCACCCACACATACACGAAGTAAATGTAATAAAATATATTTTTCAGGTGGCATGCCTTTAATCCCAGGGCTCAGGAGGCAGAGGCAGGAAGATCTTTTGTTAGTTCAAGGCCAGCCTGGTCTACGTAGTGAGTCTCAGGCCAGCAGGGCTACATAGTGAGACCCTGTCTCAAAAAATAAAAGTACATGGACTGGAGAGGCAACTCAGGGGTTAAGAGCACTTGCTGTTCTTCCAGAGGACCCCGGTTCAATTTCCAGAACCCACATGGCGGCCCTGTCACCCTCTTCTGGCTTTGTGGGCACTATACGCACACCAGTAAACATACCAGTAACCAAACACACAGACACACACACACTAAAAGCCACCACCTACCCCAGCCTCCATCTGCTACTTGTGATCTCTTGTGAGGCCCCAGGTATCCTCTGCTGTTTTAAGAATTATCAAAGCTGAGGGCAGGGTATACCAGGGACCCCAGGGTGGGCCCTGTTCTCAGTCAGTACTCAAAGTTGAGGAAAGAGGGCAGAATGCTTTGTGACCTTAGGATGTGGCAAGCTCCTGAGAGGGTCCACATGGCTAAGAATGTGTTAAGCACATGTGTGGAACAGGTATACTGGGTGTGCTAGGACACAGGACAAAAATGAACCATCAACAGCTCATACTGGTGTAACAAATAGAGGAAGTTCATTGGTACATGTGACGGAGAAGCTTGGGGCATTGAGTTTTGGGCATGGCTGGATCCAGATGCTCAAATGATGCCTTTCAGAATCTCTTTGGCTCTGTAAGGTTCTATGTTTCTCTGTGCTGACCTGGCTGGGAGGTAGGCTCTTTTGTATGATGGCAAAATGACTCATCAGTGGCTCTGGGACTAACTCAGCAGCTCAGTTTTATGTTGCTAACAGACAGGGTTTTATGCTCCCAAGGGCTCCAGAACAGGTGCCAGGGGAGCCCCTGACTGGCTCTGTGCTTACTTCTAAAACACACATAGTGATGTTGACTGGTGGGTGGGCCCTGGGTCCTGGGTCTAGCTACCAAAGACACAATGGGTCAGCTCCACCAGATTCCTTGTCTGGACAGGGAAGAAGGGGTTGTCCTTCCAGACAGGGGTTATTGGCACAGGGAGGGACTGCCAGCAGAGTTCCTCTGCCTCCTGGCTTGGGAACTGTGCTCCTGGGCAAAGAAGTGCCCTTCAACCAGAGAGCTAGAGTCTCAGTGCAGGGGCCTGGGCTCTTCGCAGTAGAGGGAGCTCCTGCAAGGGGAGAGTCCTGTCTAGGGAGCAGAAGACTCAGTTCAAAGATCCATGGGTAAGAGTACTCATTGTCCAAACACATGAACCTGAGTTCAAATCTTCAGCACCCACAAAAAATGCCAGGTGTGGCTGTGCATACCTGTAACCCCACTGTATATGTGTGTGTATGTGTGTGAGGGGTATATGTGTGCAGAGACAGGCAATTTCAAGACCTTACCGGCCAGCCAGCCTATTGGAAACTGAGAGCTTCCAGTTCAGTGAGAGACCCTGCCTCAAAGGACTAAGGTGGAGAATGACAGAGGAAGATGCCCAAGGCCCTACTGGTGACTTCTCATGCATATGTGTGGATGCACTCACAAACCCACACACATAGCCGGGCTTGGTGGCTCACGCCTTTAGTCCCAGCACTTGGGAGGCAGAGGCAGGCAGATCTCTGTGAGTCCAAGGCCAGCCTGGGCTATAAAGTGAGGTCGAGGCTAGTCGGGCCTATAGGGAGACCCTGTCTCAAAAAGACCAAAACAAAAAAACAAAAACCCCCCTAAGAATCCCAAATACATGTACCACCCCCACCACACCCCCAATCCCCAAATTAAAGAAACAGTTGAAAAAGATCAGCAAGGGGCCAGAGGATGGAGGCCTGCAATCCCAGCAATGGGGTGAGGAGTGGAGTTAAGAGGAGTGCAAGTTCAAGATCATCCTGAGTTACAACCACGGCCTCTAACAGAAACACAAACCAAAACCCAGAGGGAGGAGCCACAGCCCAGTCAACCTTCTTTCCAGGCCTCAGTATCCCCATCGGTCAAAGGGGGTTGACGTGGCTGGGGACCATAGGCTTTAGAATTGTGCTGGGTGATTTTTGGATTAAATTATGGACACACAGCTGTCCCTCTTGGTCTGGGGATTTGGTTAGTGGATCTGGTCTGTGGTATGCTGGATGGGGGTAGGGGGGGAGTAACACTGGTTGTCCAGGAGGGACCTGGGAGCTGGTATTCAGAGGGGAGAGTGAAGGTTATTTCTGGAAGCCTGAGACAGGGGAGACACATGGGCGTGGGAGGTGTTGGGTACTTCGAGAGGAAACCTGAGCTGAGGCTGGAGCCCAGGAGCTGGGAAGCTGGGCCAGTGCTGAGGACAGACCAGATGGGGTTCTGGGGCAGGGTGAGAGAAGGCCTGGCAGCTGGGAGGCAGAGGGTGGGACTGGAATGTCTCTCCTCCCAGGCACCTGTCTTTAGGCTCCTGGACCTTTGGCCCCTATCCCATAAACGCTCCTGGAAGTAGCAGAGAAGCCATACTGTCCAGTGCCCACCAAGCACCTGAATTTTTAGTAGGGTGTTCCTCAGGAGCTGTTGCCAGCTTCCTGTCAGCAGCCACTCCTTCACAGCTTTCCAAGGCCAACTCTCAAGTCTCATGACTGAACTAGGCATGGCTGTTAGCCCCATTCTACAGGCTGGGACTTTGGGTTCAGAAAGGTGAAGTGACTGGTCCAAAGGCACATAGTTAATGAGTGATGGAGCCACGGTTAGCATCTGGTTGCCTGTGACCACTGGCAGGCCAAGCTCAGGAACAAGGAATGAGTAAGACCAAGTGTTAGTTATCCAGAGGTGGGAGGGGGTTCTGTTACTCTGAGGTGGAGGGTGGGAATCTGGGTCTTGAAGCGATGCAGTTTGGACTGGATGGAACGTGCTGGGAAGGGTTTTCTGAGGGAGGGAACAGCATGGGCAAAACTTCGACATTTAGAACCGATGGAGCAGCCTGCCAGGGGCCTGACAATGTTTTGTGAGATGTGAGGGGTGGGCGGAAGGTGAGGCTGCTGTGCTGCCAGTGTCCTGATGTCTAGAACTCCCAGGGTTTTTTTGAGACAGCTGAGGGACAACTGTCCTCTGCCACCCTCTGTGGTTACTTGGGTTGAGTTTGGAGGGGACACAGGCCTAGCAGCCCAGGATTTCAGAGGCAGGACTAGAGGACCCAGGGGCAGGAAGCCTTGTTCCTCTCAGACCTACACTGAGGGTCCAGCAGCAGCCTGGGTGGCTGCGGGTGGACAGGAAGCCTGCCATTCCTCTGTGCTGGAGAATGACTTCTGTGTACACCATAACAAAAAGGCTTTTCTGCCAAGTGGAGGGGGAGGAAGCAGCCAAGCCGGCTGGGTCCAGCCTAGGCCTGAAAGGAAGCTCTGTCCCAGGCCCTGGGGTCTTGGATGCATGGGATGGAGAGGGGTAGCGAAGGGGTGTGCTCCCAGTCCCTGTCCCATTCTTCAGCAGCACCAGGTGGGAGGAGGCGAATGCCTTCCAAATTGGTCTGCCTGGGTCTGATCCCAGCGTGGTGACTTCCTAGCTATGTGGTCTTGGCCAAATCACTTCTGAGTCCTATCCTCTCAGTAAAATGTGACTGGGGAGCCTGCTGGTTACTGGGGGCCATAATCTCACTTAGCATATGCCAATGGCTGCCTGCCACACTCTTCTTTCCTTCCACTGCAGCCTTGTCAGGGCTAACTAAGCCTGGGGTGTTTGAGACTGCAGCTCCCTGCTACAGGAGGAGGAGGCTGGAAACACCTGCCCCCCCGGGGGGGGGATTATGTTGATTTACATATCTGCTTATCTTTACTGCCTTATTTATTTTTTCACCTGGAAATTAGTGAAATGTGAAGGAGAAAAAAAGACGGCAGGGGAAGAGGGATGGGGTCAGGAGCCCCTGGTTTCTTGGGCTGTAGCAGAGTAGGGGTGGGCGGCTCATAGACAGTTTCCCCAATGAGCCGAGGAGAGCAGGGCCTCTATTGTCTCTGGGTTTCATGCTGCCTTCCACTCAGTGCTCAGTGGCATCTGGTCACCCCACAACCACAGGCAGAGGGTGGGGGCCCAGGCTGGGACTTCTGCGCACAAGAGCCAAGAAGACAGTGCCTCCCTAGGTCCTCATACCACACTGGAGGCCGATGTGATGGGGGGCGGTCATGGCTGCTTCAAGATAAGCCAGACACTCTGGGCCTGGAGGCCAGCCCTTCCTACTCTCCTCAGCCCATTCCTACACAAAGAGAGGAAGGGGTGGGACTGGGGAGGGTGCTGAGCAACTCTGCTGAGGCTGTGGAGGCCTAGCCTGCTCAGTGTTGGGGGAGGACTCTGACTTGGCCTAGGACTGAGCATGGATGTGGGATTTCGGGTAGACATGGCTCACCAGCCACACCTAGGCCCGCAGAACAGCATCCTCTCAGTCTTTTCGATCTTGGGGCACCAGCCTGTGGTGGGGTTTTCTGCCTTTGAAAAAACAAGGTGGCAGGACCTGTGTGCCTCTCCTAGATGAGGAGAGACATGGGTAGCTGGGCTGTCCTTGCTCATCATCACCAAATAATAAACTGAGTTCTCCTCAGCCTCAGCCAAGCTGGCCTCCTGCTGTTCCCATACTCCTCTAAATCCTGGCCCTCCTGGGCTCCATTCCAAAGGCCCCTCTGAACTGGGAGCAAGGTTTCTTCAGCATCCCAGCTTGGACTCCACCCCAGCCAAACAGGCCCAGCTTCAAGGTAGTTCAGACTTTCAAACACAACTACACTTGCCGGCTGTACATTTAATCAGTGCAGATTATTTACAGAACTCAATGGATGGGGATGGACATCACCCCCCCCAACCCCTCACTGGCTCTCTGGTTCTGTAGAGGTTGGTGCCTAAGGGGTGCTGCTGGACTACCTCCCCATCAGTGCCAAGTAATGAGAATCTACCACTGGAGGGGAGAGGTGATGATCCAGGGGATCCTGGGAGGTGGCTCTCCGCTGCTCAGGGCTTTGGGGAGACAGGGGACACAGCCGGCTATACAGTACCATTTCCCGCAGCAGCCTCTTGCAGACGCTAGTAAGAAGAGGAAGGGAGCCACACCACCACCCCTATGACAGACCTCCCATGCCACAGTGGGCTCCTTGGTGGCGGGGGTGTTCCATAGCCTGTGAGGTGAGCTGCTGGCCTGTCCCTAGTTGTGTCTTGTGGGGAGACAAGGACCTGGAGGGGAGGAAGTCCACGAGCTTGGTGTGAAGCACTGTGGGCCTCCATACCACCGTGTAGTGTCTGGGAACCTTTATTGCCCGATCCTGGGTACCCTGTCTCACCAAGGGGCTGGGACAAGGGCAGCAGAAGCTTGAGGCTTGGGGACTGTTGAGCCCCCAAGGCCCATGGGGTGGGGGTGAGAGAGAATGTGGGGAGGCCCAGGGAAGGAGAGGCAGTCACAGCTGAGAAGAGGAAGATCTGGCAGGTACCAGGTCAGTGCTAGTGTTGGGAGGGGGGCTCAACAGGCTCCCTTTGGTCCTTGGTGAGGCAGGTTCAGGGCCTTTCCCAGCAGGAAAGGAGCAGTGGGCCCAGGGGAGTGTGGGAGCTGCTTGCTAGCCAAGAATAGGGCAGGGAGTACAGTTCAGGCTGCTGGGCTCTCAGAAGAGGCCTGGGAAGGAACCAAGCCTCAAGGCAACTCGGGGTGGCCCCCAGGACATACTCTCTTCCTAAGGCAGATTCAGAAGGATGGAGCCCTAGCTGGGCCCCTTCAAGGCAAACACAGCCATGATTATGGCTCCAGGCCCCAGGCTTGGGGAGGGCCAGAGCTGGAAGAAGCTCCCTGGACCTGTCACTTTTCCAGGTGAGCCTCTGTCCCTCAGTCCTCTGTCTGAGGCTGAGCCAAAGGCAAGTCCCTGTGTGGAACAGTATGTTTTGAGAACCCTAGGCACCCAGCACCCAGCCCTGGGCAGGAAAGCAGAAACAAATGCTGAGAGAGGGTACTAAAGAAGAGATACCTGGGCATAAATAGAGGAGGGCAGGGCTTACTGGGGATGCGGGTGGCCAGGAGGGATCCACTGGGCTAAGGGAGCATCTGGGAATCAGGTGTCCCCATGCCCGGAGCACCAGGTGCTGCAAAGGGTCAGTGGTCACACCCACTCCTGCAGCGAGCGCTTGCAGTAGAGCAGCATGCGGGGTGCACCCTTGCGCTGCATATGCACCAAGGCGAAGGCCAGGCCCAGGATGCAGAGGAGAAGCAGCAGGGGTACCAGTACCACCACCACATTCACTGTCCGCACCACCTCCTCCATCTGCACTACCACTCGGTTGCCCCCGTCCTTGTCGCCATCCTCGTCTGCCCCACCACCCACATCGCCTTCCCTGCTGTCGCCGTCCACCTCAGGCTCTGTATCTCCATTGGGGTTGAAGGGTGGACGGGCCACATCGGGCCATCGTGGTCCGGGCTCCACATGTTCCTGGCATCCCATGAAGTCCCGTAGGATGGACTTTGGGTAGCCAGGTTCCATCCGCAGGCGCTCGTTGTTGAATTTCCAGTATTTGGTGCCCTTGTAGAAGTAGGTGTAGGCTGCAGAGGCAAGCAGGCCACAGTGGCTTTAGGTTGGGCACCACCTGGGAGACAAAGACCCTTGGGGAAAACTAGGAGCCCCCACCTTCAAGATACCCTCTTTGGGGCTGGGGAATGTATGCCCCCAGTGGTAGAGCACTTGCCAGGTATGTGAATGTGTGAATGGTCCTGGGTTCTCCCAGCACCAAAACAAGCCAGAAAATAAAACAACAAAAAAACTTTCCTACTTGTTCCCCTGAGCATTTTCAAATCTGCTGCCAGATTGTGGCTTGGTGGGTTTGGATCCTGGACTTCCTGGCCAGGCTGTCAGGGCATAGAATAGGCCCGCAGCCCACCAGAGTAGGGACTGCTGGTCTGACAGGGAACCCTGCTGTCCTATGCCAGAACTGGCCTAAGCACAGTGATCTGAATGGGGACATGCCCACACTCAAAGCCATGTGACTGGGTTGTGCACTGGCAAAGCTCAGGGTGTCCTCTAGGCCTAGCATCCCATCAGAGAACACAGTAACAAAGGCCCTGATGGAGAAATAAAAGAGCCACAATTCCTGTCTCTCAATTACAATGACAGAAACCAGGCATTTCTCCCAAAAGCATGAATACCACCCTGAGAGGACCCTGACTCCAACACCCGGAGCTAAGCCCATTGCCCCAAGGACCAGGGTTCCCAGGGGTTGCTGGACTCTGAGAGCAATAGGGCAGGTCCAAGCTCTAGCTCTGGACACAGATAGGCCAGGTTAGCACCTAGACTGAAGCTTCTCCCATTGTGGGGTTGGAGATCCTTCCTCCCTCCATTGCAAGAGGACAGCCATGGTGCAGAGGGTTGCAGGATGACATTCTGGAGAATCTCCCAGGCTGGAACATGGCAGCTGGGTTCCCCTTACTTGTCACCACAATGCCATGGAACCTTGGGCAAACCCTGGCCCCTGCGTGTATAGCAGAGGGTGTAGCAAGTGCTGGGTCCTCTGGGAGGGGCTGGCTTGGTACCTGCATCATTGCTCAGGAAGGCCCCTTTAGGGGAGGTGGGGATCCCCTGCCAGACACTGATGGGCTTGGGGTAGCCAGGGTCTCCATGCTGTGTCTCCTCATTGAAGCGCCAGTACCTGTGACCAGAAACAGCAGGCTATGGACCTGGAAACCCTGCTTGGGCCTGGGCCCTAACCCCCACCCCCCTGAAGGCAGCAGGCTCTTTCTGGGTAGGCCTGAATACAAGGGGGCCTGGTTAGAGCCTTCTCCCTTTAGGGTATGGGGCATACTGCTCACCTGTCTGCTTGGAAGAAGAAGGTGTGACCCGTGGGCTCCCACCAGATGGCTGTATCAATGCGGTCATATGGGATGTCTGTGCCATAGCTGCTCAGTGGCCGTGGGTAGCCAGGCTCTAGGTTGGCTTCTCGGAAGAGCCAGTGGCGGTCACCTGCAGGATGCTGTGTGAGGATGGGCTGGTGCTGGCATGGGAAATACTCTATTCACACGCACTGCTGCCCATTCCCATACATGATACACAATATCACACACACTGAGGACATCCACAGTCTCATCTGTGCCTATACTCTGGACACTTCATGGATACCCGCGTGGAAGCTCAAACCTGTAGAGCTAGAGATACGGCTGATCTATCAGGGATGCTGACCCCCAAGGCCTTTCCTCTGCAGACAGACTGTAGAGGTCTTGCCCAAGTGGACTTAGGAACTTGTTCTTAAGAGGCCAGCCTGCTTTTATGAGGACCTATTCTCAGGAGAGCAAGAAGCAAGGGTGGGGACGAGTTGGATTTTTGGGTTGCAGGAGATGGACAAAGAATCATCCCTAATCCAAGTAGTCTCTGGCTTCTAGGGTCTAGGCCTGCCTAATCTCTCTGCCCGTCTATCTCCCCACCATGTCTTGCTGCCAGGTGGATGCAGTACCCCCAGGTACCCCTTTTTAGAAACGATCCCACCATAGGGATTAGAAAGGCAAGACTCCTGCCCAACACTGTTCAGGACAGCAACAGGGCATGAAGACTGCCTGGCCCCTCTAACACTCACCCTGGCTCACCTTTGAAAAAGACAAAACGCCCATCCTGGCGCTCATAGGCAGCACTGATGTCCCCTGGCAGACCACGCCAGAAGTGGCCAATTGGCATGGGATAGTTGTCCAGGACACGGTTGTGCCGGACTCGCCAGAACCAGCGGCCCTGGAGGGGGAGGGGAGTGGGTGTGGGTGGGCAGCATGAGCAAGGTAGCTTGATTGGGGGTGGAGGGGAGTGCTGTGCTCATTACTGCCCTTCCCAGATCAGGGAGGATCAATTAGGGAGGCCACTGAGGCTCTGAGGAGCCAGGTAGTACCTGGAGAGCCACAGCAACCCCCAGGAAGGAGCTCTGAGCTGAGGAACAGCACCTGTGTTTGCTATGTGACCCTTAGCAAGTCCCTTATTCTCCTGGGATTGTTTCTTCTTGGTCTAGGATCTGGTAGGCACCCGGGGGCTGTTCAGCAAGGGAGGGGCAGGGCAAGGATCTGGGTTGGTTGAGGGGAAGCACTGAAGGGCAGGGACAGACCTTGAACACAAACATCTCTCCACGAAGCACTGCCACCGTGTCGAAGTTGCCATCACAGATGTTGGGGCCATACTGGTCAGGTCTCTCTGTGGCTCGGGGTTGGGGTGGGGGCCCTGGCTTCGGGGGTCTCTCTGGCTTCCCACCTGGGTGTGGTGGCTGAGGAGGCCGAGGGGGCCGGTGGTCTGGCCGGCCTGGCCTCCGGGGTGTCACAGTGGGAAGAGGCCGGGTGGGCTGCGGATAACCATCTGGGGTGCCTACAGAGGCAGGGAACAGAAAGTGAGAGAACAACCCCAGAACCCAGCCTAGATGCCAGGTTCTCCTATATAGAACACTGGAGTCCTGGGGCCCTGGCTTGGATAGACCTGGGCCTCAGCAGGCCTCCCTCCAAGTATAGGTCCTGTCTGTCCATAGCAGACCCCTCCCATATCCCATCATCATCCTTGGGGGGGCCTTGAACATCCCCTTCCTTGACCTCTCTGTTGGGGTGGGAGGCTGCCTGTCTTTACTTCCCCAGAGGACATTCCCTTCACATGCTGGCCTGCTGTGGGGGGACTAGGATGGAAGGCACCTGCAGAGGCAGGAGCATGGCTCTGGGCCTGGCTTTGGTACTTGAATTCTGCCCATCATGTCTCATTACTGAGTTGCTGGGGATGCAGTGAGGCACACCTGTCAAAGATCCACCTAAGGAGGGTTCAGCTGTGGACAGAGGCATAGGCTCTGATGGGCAGAGCTGGCCCTCAGGAGGCCTGGACACTGTGGACTTTCTAAGTGGGGTCTGGGTGGGGCAAGCAGTCTCAAAGGTACTAGGAAGACTGAAGAGAGATGAGGACAGACTCAGGTTGTGGGTCTTGGGGACCCTGGGACATCCTTAGTGTAGTAAGAATATTGCTGAGGCTAAGAGGGAAGGCGGGGGGCAGAGGGTCACCTGCATCCCCTTGCAGCCCCAACCCACAGTGTGGCCTCTGGACAAGAGTAATCAGGCCTCAGTTTCCTTGTTTACAGGACGGGGGGACAGGGCAGTGCCTGTCTCATAGGGCCAGCTGGTCCACCTACTCACCATACAGCAGCTGAATGCCCTGGAGGTCATCCTCGGGCAGCTGGAAGTTGTCAGTGTCCATCCACTGGTAGAATGGAGCCATGATGGCACTGGGGTTGCTTGAGTGCTCCAGCCCCAGCGCATGGCCTAGTTCATGCACTGCCACCAGGAAGAGGTTGATTCCTGTAGTGGGGGGCAGGCACAGTCACTCTGGCTTGTCCCAGCCTACCCTTGCTTCTCTCTTGGACAGAGCTGAGCTGCTCTGACTTCTGGCCTCTTCCCCATCTGAGAACTGAGCCCAACGTACCCTTCTCTGCCCGCCTTTCCTTGGTGGGACAACAGACTGAAGTCAAATGCAGGGCCCCAGAGACCTCAGCAGGGGAGTTCTCTCCTCCTGAGCCTGCAGCTGCTGAGCTGAAGGGGCCTGTCTAGCTCCTTGGAGCCCTGCCTGCCCTGCCCCCATCCCAGTCAGCTGTCCTCACCATGCAGGTCAGTGCTGGAGAAGGTCCAGGGCTCATCTGCGTCGAAATGAGTGTCCCCACCCAGACCAGGGCCGGGGAAATAAGCATGGGCCAGAAAGCCACCGGTGCCATCAAACGGCGAGCTGTCGCCATGGAAGCCAGAGGCAAAGAGTACCATGATGTCAGCCTCCTTTTGCCGACGCAGCCGTATGTCATCATAGGGAATCTCCTGGAAGACCAGGGGCGTGACCTGCTCCCACACACGGAAGGCTCTGCGCACCACCTCCATTGAGTTGTACCAGCCCAGCTTCTCTGTGTAGTTCTGGATACTGCAGGTGGGCAGGGAGATGAGAGTGGCCCTTCTCAAGAACTGCACAGAAAGCTTCCACTCTACCCATGGTTAGTTGACTTTGGTAAGAGCTTGAATTGTCAAACCCAGTAGTTCATTAAAATATCACAAAGTACATTTTCATGGTGGAAGATAAGCAGGTTTTAATCAAGACAGTAGAGAGCTGCACACAGTGGTGCATGCCTGTAATCCCACCTCTTGGGAGATGGAGGCAGGAGAATTGGGAATTCAAGGTTAGTCTTAGCTACACCACAAGCTTGAGCCCATTCTGGGTGCAATATGAGACCTGGACCACAAAAGGCAGTTAAGACAGCAAGTAAATGAAAGCAGAGGTGTTTTGTGGCTATGGGATGCAGGTAGCTGAGATCTGGGAAACATGCCAAGCCACTCTGAATGTTGACCCCAGGGCCAGGCAGACCCTAACTTTATCTGTGTGATCTTGGACAAGTGAGAGACAGTTTCAATTTCTTCATTTGAAACATAGCAGGGGAAAGGGCAGTACTTTCTTCATGTGATTGTTATGAAGATTAAGTAAAATACTACATAAAAATGTGCAGCCTAGAGCCTGCATATGATGAAGCACATAGAAGCTCACACCCTACATGTGGGTCAGACTGAGCTGCTGGCACAGACCGACTTTGTGGATCATGAATTCACCCTTTGGAACTTGAGGCCTGAATGACATCAGATGCTCTTTCTCAGCTGAAGCTTAGGGTGAGGTTGTGGCTGGCCTGGAACAAGAAGGGAGCCCTTGGGGACTGCCATGTCACAGGAGGCACACTTGCCTCAGGAGCTTAATTTAAGCTCAAGGACTCCACAGATAGGAAGGAGTATCTGAAGCAGGGGTTTTGCACAAAATGTGCTGTCTGGTACTTGATAGACACCTGGACCCCCACATCTGCTGACTGTACTGACACAGGAGCCCATGTGTCTATAAGAGGCCAGCCCGACCCTTTACCAGCTGCAGTCAGGGGAGGGCAGATCAAAAGCGTGAAGGGCCTGGTTTCTCTGGAGAGAGGCTGCCTAGACTGTGGGCTGGGCTCATTAGCAACACTGTCAGGACAGACCTCTTGTGGTGGGTTTCTGGGAATGGAAGTCTGAGTCCCCTTGGGAGCAGTAGGACAGTTCCCTGTGTTTTCTGGACCCCTACCTGAAGGTCAAGTGGTGGTTGTTCCACTTCCTCCCTGTCAGGGCGTAGCGCTTCCGTCTCCGCAGGTTGGCTTTCACTCGCACCCCAAACTGATCTGGTACTCCACAGCGAGGCCGCTTCATCCACCTGGGCCACAGATGTAGAGGGGTCAATTCTGAGACATCTCTTCCAGGTAGCCACCTCTTATCTCCCAGCTTTCCTTTGTAGGGATGGGATGGGGACAGGGAGACTCTCTGTGTGGTTTCTAGTAGGTAAAGAGATCCTGTTCTAGAAGACTAAGTGCTCAGCAGTGGCTCAAAAAGGTGTGTTCCCTCTCGAGAGTGTCACCAATTATGGGAGGGGTGCTCTTGGGGCTTGTCCTGGGTATGTCATGCTCTGCTTCTCAAGGATGTCTGAAGGTCCTGTCACCTCTGTTAGAGTAGAGCAAGGCCTGGCTAGGCTGTCCCAACCAGGGATTCTGTACTGCATCTCCCGATTCCCATGCCTGTAACAGGCATTACTAATTGAGCACTATGTTCTCCACAAGCCTGGATTCCACCTGCTTCCTCTTTCTTAACATAAGGCTTCAGGCAGCCACAACAAACAATAAGAATTGGCATGAGGACCAAATCATTTGCCATCCTTTATTCAGGCTACTCTCTACTGGAAATTCCACATGCCACATGCCAAAGGCTCCTCAGAGCAGGCCTGCAACAGGCAAGTGGTCTATGGGGTCAGGAAGCGGTCACACAGAGGGACTCACGCCTTGGTCTCTTCATCGAGCACACCCGTGACTGGGATCCCATAGAAGCGCTGCATCTCAGATAGGGCCGAGGCCAGGATCTGGGCAGAGCGCATGGTGGACATGTGGCGACTAGGTTGGGGGAGGTATCCATAGAGGCGCAGCCAGTTCTGCAGAGAAGCCAGATCAGGTCTCAGTTGTCTGCTCAGAAACCACCAAGACCTCCCAACTCAAAGGAAAATCTAGTCTTTTTAGCCTCTTACAGCAGGCCCCACCTCAGCACTCTGACCTCACCCCCTCCACCATCCACCAGCCTCAGGGCCTTTGCACTTCCCTCCTTCTGCCTGGTGTTGGGCCTGTACCTGGCAGGCTCTTCCCTGGCCCTCCAGGGTGGGTCCCTTCTGCTCCAGACAAACTGCTGGGGACCTTCAAGTGCTTAGACTCTCTCTCCCTCTCTCTCTCTCTCTTTTTTTTTTTTTTTTTTTTTGGTCTTTTTGAGACAGGGTCTCCCTGTAGCCCCAGCTGGCCTGGAACTCACTATGTAGACCAGGCTGGCCTCAAACTCACAGAGATCCGCCTGCCTCTGCCTCTGCCTCCCAAGTGCTGGGATTAAAGGTGTGCGCCACCATGCCAGGCTTAGACTCTCTCTTTTTAAGAATTAAGTTTTATTTATTTATTTATTTATTTATTTATTTATTTATTTATTTATGTGTCTGTATGCTCATGTATGTGTAGGTGCCAGCAGATGCCAGAAGAGGCCATTGGATGCCTTGAAGCTGGAGTTACAGGTGATGGTAAGTCACCTGATGTGGCTGCTGGGAACCAAACTCTGGTCCTCTACAAGAGCAGCAAGTGCTCTAAGCCACTGAACAATCTCCTCAGCCCCTTTCTTTCCATTTATTTATTCATTCACTCATTCATTCATTTATTTGAGACAGGGTTTCCCTGTAGCCCCAGTTGGCCTGGAACTCACTATGTAGACCAGGATGGCCTCAATCCCACTGAAATCCACCTGCCTCTGCCTGCTGAGTACTGGGATTAAAGATATGTGCTACCATGCCTGGCATTATTTTTATTTTTTAAATTATGTCTATGTGTGGGTATGTGCATGTATGACTACAGATACCCATGGAGGCCAGAAAAGGTTGATGGATCCCCTGGAGTTAAGGTATCTGTGAACCACCTAAACATGGGTACTGGGGACTGAACAGAACACAGGTCCTCTGAAAGAGCAGTATACACTCTTAACCATTGTGCCATCTCTCCAGTCCTAGTTTTCAAATAATATTTAAAATTTTTTCTTTTGAAAATTTCATATATTAAATACAGTGTATTTTGGCCATTTCCATCCATCCTTACCTCCCTCCAACTTCCCCTGGTGCCCCCCTATTCTGTCTCACACCCAGCTTCAAGTCCTCCATTTTTTGTTGTTATTTATAACCCCCTGAATCTAATTAGTTCTGCCCATATGTGCATGGGTATGGGGCCATCCACTGAGGCCCAGGCAACCTATTTGTAGCTATGTCCCCAAAGGAGCATAGTCCCTGGTACATACTGGGTGTGTCCATCTGTTTCCAGGAAAATGCTATCCATTCATCTACCCTCCCATCATTCACTCTGCCAGATATGTCAGTTGGGGGCTGCATGGAACACTGAGTGTCCCTCCATCTAGAGCTTCCAGTCTCCATGAGAGAGAAGGGTTTCATAGTGGCCAAGTCTGTGAGTATATAAGATACCTGCAGCAGCAACGCTGAGTATATCTGAGGAATGCTAAGAAAGGGGATTCAGCCTAGCCTGCTTCTAGGCTACCATGTAGGAGGTGAGGGCAGAGGCCAGGGGAGCTGGGGGACTTGGCCATATGAAGCATGTCCTTCTCACTGTTCCTTGCCCACCTGGAACACCTACTCTCTGGGTAGCTCTGGAAGTGGGGCTATACATTGAGAGACCCTTGAGGCAAGACAGCTGGACATGGTAGTTGCTCTGGGCTGACACTCACTCACCTGTCAGCTGGCCAGGCTACATATCCACCTGTTACCAATGTCTCATCTAAATCTCATTGCTCCCCCCAGCCCAAGGCAGCAGTGTCCAAGCTTGATGGGCAGGGAACTGCTGAGCCAAGTCCCAGCCTGGCTGTCTGTACAGTCACCACTCAGGGGCCTCAGGGTCTGGGAAGCAGGCAGAGCAGTGAGACAGAGGCCTGGAGCTGAGAATAAGTGCTCAGCTCTGCAGACAGAGCTGGGCCAAACCTGGCCTGGGCATCTTGGAGGTGAGGGTCTCAGCCTGTTCTCAAATCAAGAGGCTGATTTAGGGCCTGCATCTATGTAGCTCAACTATGCAGCTCTACAAGGATCAAGTGTGATAGGGTCATGCTAATGCTATGGATGATAGAGATCAGAAACCCTGGCTAGTCACCTTCTGATTCTGCCAACAGGGCTGAGGGGTCCAGGTTTCTGATGAGACTAGTCAGGTACCAGCAGGACCAGGGCACAGGGCAGCTGGGGGAGGCAGCAACCCCATGGTCCATGGCCCCTTACTGACTCTTATCACCCCTCTGACTCAGGTAGTAATACCACAATGGCCCTGTTCTTCCCAAGCACTGGTACCTCCTGGGAAATACCTGTGGCTGGTCCACTCCCCAATGGACAGAGTTTTCCTGAAGCTGTATGTTTGAAAGCCCCATGGGTGGGAGTGGGTTGGGGGAGGCAAGGTCACAAGGTTCTAATGTCAAAAGACATCCAGCTGGTTGGGGAGTGGGGGTAGGGTGGCTGCTGACAGATGAGGGCACCTTCTCATCACCTATTTGCATAAGGTAAAAATATCTCGGCAGTGCAAGCAATCACAGCCACTGAGGGGCTGATTAGCCTGTCTGCAGAGCCCTAAGAGGGAACAGGGGATGGGGGGTGGTGTTCCAGGGCAGGGAGGGGAGGGAGCTGTCCTGTTTGCAGCAAAGAGCTCCAGAAATCTGGCAGAAGGGCCCCTTCATCACATAACCAACTCAAGGTCTGTCAGGCAAGTCCCAAGGGAGCCTGGTGGTCCTCCTTTACACAAACCAGTGCCTTCTTTCAAGTTCCCAAGAAGCTTCCATCTCCCTATCAGCCAAGCCTCCAAACCTCAGCCTCCAGGGAACAAATGCCTCACAGTCACTGGGGTAAAGATGAGGGCTCAGTGGTACCCCTTGGGCAAGGGCTGTTGAGCAGAACCTCAGCCTTGGCATGGGAAGCTGAGCCTCTGAGGATTCAAAAAGCTGATGGATTGCTTGCCTTTAGCAAACACATGGTCAGAGTGGCTCAAGTGTCAATAAATCTGCCATATAACAGCAGACATCACCTTAGGGCTATGGGCTTCTTCCCTTCCCAGTGTCAGAAGTAAGTATCCCATCACCTAGGACAGAGTGTGACAAGCTCCAAGAGGCTGGCTATGCTAGTGGGAAGAAAGCTTAGGCACGGTGCTCAGGCTCCTGAGGGCTGTGGTGAAGCACCCACTGCTCCTGCTGGTGGTGTCTGTCCCTTATACAAGGTCACTTATACAGCTCTTTGTCACCTAGAGTTTCACAGGAAGGGTGAGCCAAGCAGGTAAAGCTGTGCTGCTCAGGTAGGGAAACTGAGGCACAGATAGGTCAAGGGGAATAAGAAAAAGGGAAGAATCTGATTCAGGGCCTACTTCTCTTTCCATGAGGGTCATTGTCCAATAAAAGGGTAGGAGGGCTGTAGGCCATGAGGCCCCTCCCACCTGCAGCCCAGGGTGGGGGGTGCTCCCAAGAACCCAGAGCCATGGATAGCCTAGTCATTGCTTTGAGCTTCAGCATCCATCCTGGAAGTATTTATTGATGTTGAAGGTGAGTGGCTAACCCCAGGTGAGAAGACAAGGGATAGCAAGTCATAAGAGAAATTCCTGATCCTTAAGGCTATGAACATCACACCAGAGAATCCACTGTGAGATATTTAATGCTCATTGCCACTCCTGAAAGGTAAATAGGCATCCATTCCCATCTTCCTGAGAACAAGGTTCAGAGAGAGTGAATTGCCTACCTAGAGTCACACAGCTGATTGGGTCAGACCTGGATGCAGGACATTTCTAAAGAGCTACTAGTTCCTTTGCCTAAGGTGGAGGAACACTGAGCTCTGGCCCTTCTCAGGAACCGTGCCCAGCACAGCACTGGAGTAGGGCACCTAATCCTCCCCACACCCAACATCTCTGGCTGGGTCTGGGCACTGAGCCAGGCCTCCCTCCCCCAGGCCTGCTCAGGCAGTATGGAGGGATGCATGCTGGCTGGGAGGGCTAGTCTGGGAAGAAGCCGCCAGATCAATACAGTGCCTAGAGCGACCATGGGGGAGGGGTCAGTGCCATTGTTGTCACCACTGCCAGCACTTATACTCAAACCAAAGGACTGGCCAGCAGCACAGCAGCCCCTCCCCCGGGGCCCTTATCAAGTCCCAGGCGATAAGAACAGTCTCCTGGCTCAGCTTTGCCTTTCTCTCCAGCTCCCGCTGCAATGTGAGCAGCCCCCAGGCACATTTGCCCAGCCAGGTACAAAGGGAAGCTTGTTACGGCCACCAATGATGGATCAACCCTGAGACCTCCAATGGTTCTGTGAGGTCCTCACCAATGGTCTCCTCTACCCCACACTCCAGCCACTGAGGGATCTTGGGAACAAGCCAGTGCCCTGCCTGCTGGCTTTGCCATGCCTGGGGAAGAAGCAGGTGCGAATGGAGTTAATTTGAGGACAGTCTAAACCCCTGCAAGAGGCAGGGTCTGCTCTCTACCAGCGAGATACATCCTCGCTCAAATGGGGGATGGGGGGGACGAAGGGGCGCATGGGGGAGGGGAC